AGCTCATAGGATCACCCAAAATTTCTTCTGGCCCAATTTTAACCGAGATGTGCGGGTATATTGTAGTACTTGTGACACCTGTCAACGGGTAGGTAAGCGGGGGGATATGTCTATGCCTATCATTGGGAAACCCTTTTCCCGCATAGCCGTTGACATTGTGGGTCCACTGGCCAGGGCTAGTCCACCAGGAAAGAAGTATATTCTCACCGTGGTGGACTATGCCACTCATTATCCAGAGGCAGAAGCACTGTCTAATATAGAGGCAGAGACAGTAGCTGATGCCCTGGTTAAGATTTTTACTAGGGTAGGGTTCCCTAAGGAGATTCTCTCCGACCAGGGAACCCAATTTACTGCTGTGCTTACACAGCAGTTGTGGAAGGTGTGCGGCATTAAACCGCTGCTTAGTTCACCTTATCACCCACAGACTAACGGTCTCTGCGAGCACTTTAATGGCACCCTCAAGCAGATGCTGAGGACCTTTACTGACACTTGCAGAGACTGGGAGTGATTCCTGCCTCATCTGCTATTTGTGTACAGAAAGGTGCCCCAGGAATCTACTGGGTTCTCTCCCTTTGAGTTACTCTATGGGAGAAGGGTCCACGGACCCCTGGATCTCATTAGAGGACACTGGGAGGGAGAGACAGAGCAAGAAGGGACCCCCATAGTACCATATGTCTTGGAACTCCGGGATCGCATGGAGAAACTATCCCTGATTGTAAGGGAGAATCTCCAGGTGGCCCAGGGGAGACAGAAGAGGTGGTACGATCGGGGTGCCCAGCAGCAGGTCTTCCAGGTTGGGAAGAAAGTTTTGGTGCTCAACCCTGTGAAGACAAACAAGATGCAAGCATCTTGGCAGGGCCTGTATAAGGTGTTAGCTCAGGTGTGTGATACTACCTATGTTACAGCCAGCTGTGCAGATGAGAGGATTCAGCGATCCTTTCATGTGAACATGCTGAAGGAGTATCAAGAGAGACCAGAGGATGTAACTGCAGTATGTGCCCCCTGCTGCATACGACCCGGAGAATTTACCCCTGCCCGATTTATTAGAGAGGGACCCCCAGACTGACCTCACTAGTCTTGTGCAGCTAGGGGACCAGTTAAGCCCCACAGAGAAGGTACAGGCAAAGCAGCTTCTGTGGGAGAAGCAGGCAACGTTCTCCCAAGAAACCGGCTACACTACCCTAGCTGTACATAAGGTAGAGACCCCTGGACAGAATCCCCTGCGACAGCCCCCCTACCGTATCCCTGAAGCAGTCCGAGAGGGAATGCGGAAGTAGATACAGGAGATGACTCGGCTTGAAGTCATCGAACACTCCGATAGCCCTTGGGCTTCGCCTGTAGTCCTGGTACCTAAGAAAGATGGGACCACCCGGTTCTGTGTGGACCACAGGCGCCTCAATGAAAGGACCACCACTGATGCCTACCCGATGCCCCGGGTAGACGAGTTACTAGACCGTATTGCCAGGGGACGCTACCTGACTACCATAGACCTGTGTAAGGGCTATTGGCAGATTCCCCTGGCTGAGGATGCTATCCCAAAGTCAGCATTTGTCACCCCATTTGGCATGTACCAATTTAAGGTCATGCCATTCGGGATGAAGAATGCTCCGGCTACCTTCCAGCGTATGGTGGATAGACTCCTTGATGGCTTCCTGAAATTTGCTTGTGCATACCTGGACGACATTGCGGTCTACAGTGAGTCCTGGGAGGAGCACCTAGTTCATGTAGGGGTGGTTCTGGACAAGATTCGGGCCGCTGGCCTGACCTTGAAACCATCTATGTATGGCTGAAGTACAGTACTTGGGACACAGAGTGGGGTGTGGAAACCAGAGACCGTAGCCAGCCAAGGTAGAGGCTGTGGCTAACTGGTCCACACCTATCACTAAGACCCAGGTGTTGGCCTTCTTGGGGACGGCAGGGTACTACCGACACTTTGTCCCTGACTACAGCACTATAGCCAAGCCCCTGACTGACCTGACTAAGAAAAACCTCCATAAGCAGGTCCTGAGGTCTCCAGCTTGTGAAGCCGCATTTCAGGCACTGAAGCAGGCTCTTGTGAATGCCCCTGTCTTGGCTGCCCCAGTCCCTAACAAACATTTTCTCGTTCACACAGATGCTTCCATGTATGGACTGGGGGCTGTGCTGAGCCAAGTCGGGGAGGATGGAGGAGAGCACCCTGTCGCATACTTAAGCCGAACGTTATTACCTCGAGAAGTAAGATATGTGGCAGTGGAGAAGGAGTGTTTAGCCCTGGTTTGGGCACTGAAAAAGTTAAGCCCCTATTTGTACGGTCAGGAATTCTCTCTTATAACGGACCACAATCCCCTAGTTTGGCTTACCCGGGTCTCAGGAGACAATGGTAGATTGCTGCGGTGGAGTTTAACCCTTCAACCCTATAACTTCACCATCAGCTACCGACCTGGTAAGCAGAACAGGAATGCCGATAGATTGTCCCGGCAAACTGACATCCCTACCACCTCCTAGTCCAGTCATCCCAAAGTTGACCCGCCAAAGGGTAAAGCCGGGACTGCCGGAGTGTCCCACAAGGAGGGAGCCGTGTGACAGATCCCTCTGTCTTGGAACTATAGTGCTATCCCGTTTGATTTGTGTGGATTCGTGTAATTGCCTGTCTGTCCTCCCCCGGTCGTTTATTTTTTAATCTGCCAAACAAACTGCCGAATGGCCGGCCACCCAGAAGAGGAGTGTGCTGCTGGTTAACCTATTGGCCTCAATTAGAACGTTGTGGTTAACCGCAGGCACCTCTTAATTGAAACCGTATGCTGGGTGGTCGTCGTTCGTATGCCGACCACGAGGCGACGGCCATCTTAGATGCACGAATACACAGCGGTGTTCGTCGACAAACGTATGGAACCCAAAACGGACACTTTTTCTCCCGAACACCGCTGAAACCGTTGACCTCCATCCTTTGTCATCCGGCATACGAACACCGGTCCGTTCGGGACTTTTATTTCACAAATGGACTTAACCCAGATAGCCATCCTATGGAGCCCTTCGTATACCGAAAGAACAGTATGAAAGACTTTGGCTCCATGGTGATTGAACTGTGTGTATTGGATCTGAGCGCCATTCGGTAATAATGTGCGCTCAGATCTAGGCTATCTGGGGATACATTAAATGTACTGAATACATTCGGTAGTTTTACAGTTATGGAATTTTATGTATTTTTACTGTATCATTTAAAATGGCGTTTTTCCTCTATCCATGGAGATAATTGGATTTCTGTGATTGGCTAATGTACCATACTTGTCCCAGTCTTCCATCTGGTCCCCTAGGGGAGTGTCCACCAGGTGGGAGACCTGCATAAGTACCAGGCATGTAGCCCTCAATAAATCAGATTCCTGTTTTACCCTCAAGACAGAGCTTGGTCTTGTGTTGGGGGGGGTTGCTACTTTGGAGTATTCTTTTGCCTGTTCCAGGAGAGAAGGAGTTCATATGATTCTCCGTTTGGGAGTTTGGAGCATTCCCTTGTATTCAGTTCAGGAGCTCGGAGCATTCCCTGTATTCAGTTCGGGAGTTTGGCGGTCTAGAGTAACTGTGCCTGTGTCTCTAAAAGGGGAAGATCTACTAAACGGCGGTTTCACTCCTTTATGCCGGGAGTGTCTTAACAGCTAGTTTGCACAGGCCAATGCCAATCACTCTTGTCAGTGGACAAGCTGGGGGACATATTTAGAGTCTTTCCAGACACCATGGATTTCCTACTCTCACTGGTTATGTCACTGGTGATGTGGAAGTACAGTCATGGTAATTTAAAGTGCTGCATGCAGTACTCATTTTAAAGCATTAGACACATCTCACTTAATCTGGCCCCAGCTGACAGAAGGGAGTCTTGGGTATTCAATGATGCTGTCATGGTACCCACTTCATGAAAATAATGCTGTGTGTCATTCTGACATCAATAGTGAACAGATCCATCTCAAGCCTCTCCTATAACCAAAATAACACAGACATGGTGTCATTTCAACTACAGTTCCCGGCCAAATCCATTTTGGCATTGCTCATGTGACACAAGATGCTATATATTCTCAGTCCACTCTGAGAACTGTCCTCTGTCGGGGTCCCTAATAGCTTAAGAGTGGGTTGTTACTGCGTCTTGTTATTTCTGTTTTTGAACTTTGGCTTGTTCCTTGACTATTCTACTTTCTCCATGCCTTACCATGGCTCATCTATTTGCCCTGTTGTTATTCTATTATCCATTGACCTTAGCTTGACCATTCTAACTTTGTCTCATATGTTAAGCCTGGCCATCTCTAAGGACCAGTGAGTTGTTGCTATTTGTCTGTTGTACAGGAAGATTCCCCAACTTTTACTTGCTTGCCATCTGGTTTAAAATGTGGGGTCCATGTATAAATGTTTATACTGTGACAAATAAAGGTAGACTTATTTTCACCCTTCATCAAGTGTTGGCTGATGTTTGGGTGGACTGCTATATCACGGATCACTGCGAGAAAAGAAGAGATACTTTGACAGAGATACTCTGGTCAAGTATTGGAGCTCTGCCACACTATTCCAAGTCCACATTGCAATTTGTATACTAGTTCACTGCATAGACAAAGAAATGTATAAAACGGGGGAGTCTACATAAAGTTTACAGAATCTGACTCTGGAGAATCCTTGGTACTACTAGTACGGTAATGCTGAAAGGAAAAGTTGACCCTCTTCTATATTTTCCCTTAGTTCGAAGGGACAAACATTGGGCATGATAGGTCTAGGTCCAAAGCCTTAGACCAGATCTCCTGTGCTCGTTAAATCTTTGCTGACCTAGTATTGGGATGCTCTATGTTTCTGGCAGATAACTAGACCTTCCAGTAGAGCATGGATGGGGAACCTTTTTTCTGCCAATGGCCAATTGGATATTTATAACATTATTTGTGACCATACAAAATTATCAACTTAAAAATTAGCCTGATATATTTAGTCAAACATTTAATTACCTCACCCTTGATGTGATGGCTGAAACTGATTCTCTTTGGTGAGACGTGATGTTGACTGGTATTGATGATGCTGCTACTTTCAACTGCTTTTCCAGGTTTGCGTTGGTCGGTCTACAGACAAGCTCACTTACTAGCAGCCACACAAGCACACCTGGCACAGAATGCTGTGGGAGCACTGAGAGGTAAATTTTATATATGGTATAATTACAGACTCTAAATGTATGATGTATTTATTATCATAGCTAGCTGTTATTGTAAATGTCATGTACTTAGTGTGATGTTGTTTTCATCATCAATGTATTACTCTTCTGACTTATTATTATTGCCATTTATATAGAGCCAAGAGATTCCGTAGCATTTTACAATATTATGAGAGGGGGATTTAACTATAAAAAGGACTATTAAATGAAAACTTACAGGAACATTAGGGTGAAGAGGACCCTGCTTAAACGAGCTTACAGTCTATAGGAGGTGGGGTGTAAAACACAATAGGACAGGAAATTGCAATCAAATAAGGTGGGAGTGAAGAAGAGCTGGAGGAGAGAGTAGAGTGCTGTCCTTTAGGAGAGAGCAAAAGAGGTAGAGGTTACTCTGGGAGGCCATAAGCTTTCCTAAAGAGATGGGTTTTAAGGCACTTTTTGAACGATTGAAGACTAGGGGAGAGTCTGATGGCGGTAGGCAGGCTATTACATAGGAAGGGAGCCCGCGAGAAGTCTTGCAAGCGTGAGTTGGCCGTACGGGTGCGAACAACGGACAGGAGAAGGTAATGGGCAGAGCAGAGAGACCGAGAAGGGGCATACCTATGGATCTGTGAAGAGATATAAGAGGGGCTAGAATTGCTCAGTGCTTTATTGGTGTGAATTAGTACCTTGAATTGACTCCTATAGGATACAGGAAACCAATGTAAGGACTGACAGAGGGGTGAGGTGAGAGAGAACCGACTAGAGAGGAAAATCAGTCTGGCGGCAGCATTTATTACAGACTATAGAGGTGTAATACGGCTTTTGGGAAGACCAATCAGGAGAGGGTTACAGTAATCCATTAATTACTACAGCTTGGACAAGCTCCTTGGTAGCATCTTGCGTAAGAAAGGGGCGGATGTGGGCTATGTTTTTAAGATTGAATCTACAGGATTTGGCAACATACTGGATGTGAGGCTCAAAGATGAGGCCAGAATCAAGTATGACACCAAGACAGCAAGCTTGCAAGGATGGACTTATGTGGATACCAATAACTTGAAGGGAGAGTGAAAGAGGAGGATCAGTATTAGGAGGAGGAAAGACAAGGAGCTCAGTTTTAGTTAGATTGAGTTTCAGAAAGCTGGAGGACACCCAGTCAGAGATGGAAGAAAGGCAAGTAGTGACACGTTGCAGGACGGCAAGAGAGAGGTACGGGGAGGAGAGCTATATCTGGGTGTCATCAGCGTACAGGTGGTAGTGCAATCCAAATGAGGTAATACGTTTGCCAAGAGAGTCAGTATAAAGATATAATAGAAGGGGACCAAGAACAGAGCCTTGGGGGACTCCAACTGAGACAGGACAAAGGGAGGAGGTATCATTAGAAAAGGAGACACTGAATGAGCGTTGGGAGAGATAAGAGGAGAACCACGAGAGGACAGAGTCATCAGAGACAGAGTGATTGAAGAGTTTGAAGAAGGAGAGCATGATCAATGGTGTCAAAGGCAGCAGGGAGGTCAGGAAGAATTAGTATGGAGTAGTGGCCTTTGGTTTTAGCTGCGATTAAGTTGTTAGTAACTTTGATAAGTGCAGTCTTAGTAGAGTGGAGAGGGCAGAAGCCAGATTCAAGAGGGTCAAGGAGAGAGTTTGAATTGAGGAAGTGAGGCACACGGGTAAAGACAAGTCTTTCCAGAAGCTTTGAGGAAAAAGGGAACAGGGATATAGGATGATAATTAGAGGGGGAGGACGTGTCAAGAGATATTTTTTTCAGTATAGGTACTACAGTGGCATGTTTAAGGTCATCACAGACAACACCAGAAGAGAGAGAGCAGTTGAAGATGTGTGTTAAGAAAGACACAAAAAAGTGGAAAGAGATCTGATAAGGTGAGACGGGACAGGATCGAGCAGGCAAGTGGTGGGGCGAGAGGAAAGGAGAAGCACAGCCACCTCTTGTTCAGTAGATGGGGAGAAAGTCTGAAGGGTAGGAAAGGCATGATCTACGTGTGGTTGAGAAAGAGAATGGCATGGAGGGGAGAATTCTTTCCTTAGCTGTTTAATCTTGTCGGTAAAGTAACATGCAAAGCTATCGGCAGTAAGGTTAGTTTGGGGGGTGGCCACAGCAGGGCGAAGAAGAGAATTAAAGGTGTCAAAGAGACGCCTGGGATTGCAGGAGAATGAACTAATGAGACAGGAAAAGTATGATTGTTTGGCGAGGGCAAGGGCTGCGCTGTATGAACACAATATGAATCGATAATGGAGAAAGTCTGACTGGGTGCGAAACGTCCTCCAGAAGCGTTCAGCACAACAGGAGCATCTTTACAGGTAGTGTTTTGATTTAGTATGGCATGGTATTCACTAAGTTTGTATACTATGATAACTTCAATAATAAAAAAAAAAAAGGTAGGATCTGTTTATTCAGTGGTCAATGAGGACATTTCTCCAGTTCCCACACTCTGAAGAATTCTTAAAATAATGATAAGGTCCCCACAAAGAAAAGGGGACAAGGTTATAGGATGGGAAAAAATTACAAAAATGGGGTGTCTTCAAAGGATTTCAACCCCTTTCCCCAAAACTTGTATATATAAAATTATATATGTAGGGTGTTACGAACTGAACCTCGTCACAGGTCCTTGAAGGGGCATACTAGCCAACCTCCTACCCTGTGACTATGGCCCCTGTGTTAAACCCTGTTTGAAAACACTATTTGTGCCTGTTAGGACTGGTAACAGGAACCATTCGAACTTTCGAAGTCGCACTTCGAACTGACGAACTCCCAAAGCCATTAGAAGTGCCATTCGAACACATGGTGGTGACCATTTTGTTCACATAGACCAAAACCGTGAATAGACTTCAGGGGGACTTAGCCGCGAATGACCTGGAACTATTTTCGGCATGAAAACTTTGCGGTTCCCGGTCGGTTCCCCTGCGTCACTTAGCTGCGATTCCATGGGACCATGCCTGCGGTCTATAAAAACTATGACTTCCATAAAATTTCTAAACTTTATGGGGATTTTATGTGTTTTTAAGGTATTTTGGGGGTTTTGTAAAAACGTGTTTTTTGTGTTTGGAGATAATTGAGTTTAGTATAGTTTATTGTATTATATGTGGGAGTGTCATGCATAATCACTGTTCTTATTGGTTTGTCAGTTTCTGTCCCTGATCCCAACAAGGTCCATGTGGGTGTCACCCTTGCATGGGGACTTGCATAAAAGGCCAGTGTGGCTACCATTAAACCAGTCCTGCATTACCCTCAACATAGAGCCTCGCCTCATGTTTGTAGGGACCTGCTATACAAGCTATAACCACTAGCTCTTGTAAGAGCTTCACAGCTATACCTGCTATACTCTCTTGGAGGAGAGGCCTTCCTACTGGGAGCTGGATCCAGGAGTTTGGTCCAGGATGGGAAGGGACGGCGAGACCCGCAGCCAAGCTACAGCAGCTAGGGGGCTACAGTGCTGATGGTGTCTGGTGGAGTGCTTGTAGTCCTCAGTGAGCACTAGGAGCATCGACTGACGGAGGCACCCGGGCAGGGTGGCAGGCGGTCCGTCACATAGGGCAAGAGAAAACATTTGATTTCCATGATATAAAAGAGACAACAGAACAACTGTATGGGGTGTGTCCCTTATACACTGATTTTAAACCTCAGTCTATAAGGGAAACATACCATCTAAAACATTTCAATAAATCTTTCGTCTTAGACAGCATACTTTGAAAAATATGGACATGTTTTAATTTTTAACAAGCATGACGTATTGTAAAAATGTGAAAATACTTTCTGCAAAGTTACTGTGATTTATTATATAGTATTGTTCTAAGGAGAACGGAATCTTGCTTAAAATTCATTTTTCTATAGTTTTAGAACGAGCAGCACAGTACTTATACTATGTAGTTTTGTTAAATATTATTTGTTTAGTTTGTAAATGATCCTTTTATAATTGTCATTAAGGAGCTGGTCGTTATTTTTGTGGATATTCTTTAAGTGGTGTTAGCCTTTGGGCCCACGCATGTTTACAGATGGAAGAAGAATTTGCAGCTGCACTAGAAGAATGCAGTGAGAAGAGGCTATAAATAAGTGGACATTTGTGTAGCCCTTTTCACATCTTTCTCACTCCCAGCTGATTATACTGTGACACTGCACAGAAGTATAAATCAAAACAGACGGTTCTTTTGCATTTGATCTGGATATAAGTCAGTTCTAAATAGATAAGTATTAATAATAGCCACTTATTTATAGCTTTTTAAAAGCTTTGTTAAATAAAATGCTTTAGACTTGATTAAGGTAGGAACTCTCAAAAGGGTGTCACTACAAATTTCTGTTAGTCCAATAAAAAAATGTATTCATCTACATAACATAACTATGGCATCTTAAATATCATAATCAAATAATTAAATATACATTTTTTTTTGTTTTTACTGAAAAACATGCTACATTAGTTATACAATCTAAATTAAGTTGTTATTGTGCCTGGAGGTCCCAGCAGGCAATCTTACCTCATAAGTTGCCTCCAGCGGCATTGTCCACTCTCCCCCAGGCCGCATTAAGCTTTAGAAATTTCAGGAAGCACGGAGTGTCGCTGAGCAGGGGCACCTCTGATTAGCTGAGAGAGCTCGACTGATGCTGTTAATCCCCATTCACAAAACTGCAGTTTTTAATATGTGTTATGATTGTGCAACATGATAGTATAAATAAAATGTTTAAGTGTAAAAAATTGTGACATCTACCCAATCTAAGAATAATTAAAAAGATCCATTAGAGAAATAGATATATAGACCAACAGACAGATAGACGGACATGTAGATAAACAGATAGATGCAATTCAGTTGCCACATGTCTTATGTTCCAATATATGGTAAAAATTCCAGCGATACTGAGTTTCCCACAAGATCAACAAGGGCATGACCTCAGACAGGAGAGAGAGCAACATGGCCAATGGGGAACTGAAAGATCTCCCTCACCGGTCATCCCATTCTCTGGGTAAATGACCAGTGACCGATGGTCTTCAAGTGATAAAGGCCTCTGTGTAGGTAGAAATGTTGCACTTTTTGTTCCAATAAACCTGCCTTCCTGCAGCAATCCTGAGTGCCTGGACCTAATTTATTTTATCTACTAAACTGGCCCCTATCTATAAACCCTGGCCCTGATAAGCACCTGGATTCCTAAGTGTGAGTACGGTATCCTCTGTTTGTGAATTACTACAGTTATTTGTTTCTCCCAGCGCCAAGTGCAAGGAGACACAAGAGGAAACACACTCTTGGTTGCAGGGCTCGCTTCCAATTCTTTGTGTTTGTGTGGATGAGGTTTCAAAGCTAATCTTCTTTCCTATTGTAAAGCACAATTTTACCTCTCACTTTATCCTACCTATGAATCTATGAGTGTGTGTATTTGCGTATCTGTGAGTGTGTGTGTCTGTATGTGCGTATATGTAAAAATGTGCCAGTACGTGAATGTGCATATCTGTGAGGGTGTGCCTGCCCATATGTGTGTATTCATGAAGGCATGTATGAATATGAGGGTATGTTTGTCTGTGAGTGTATTTTTGTAATTGTGTGTGTATCTTAATGCATATACCTGTGAATACCAGTGAATATTTGACTCTGTGTATGTCTGTATGTGTGTGTGTTTTATGTATGTATCTGTGTGAACCCATCTGTATGTGTACATGTGTAAGTGTGTGACACACAACCCCACAAGCAGCATCCCCAGAAACAAGAAACACCACAAGTAGCCTGTCCTCACACATGCAACACCACAAGTGGTCACCCCCACAAAGACAACCCCACAACCAGCATCCACAGAAGCATACTACACATGCACGCTCTCCTAGCCTTGTTCAACAAGCCTCCTAATCACATACACCATCCAATCATGGAATAGTCTGATTCACCAATCACATGCCTCAAACTTGTCACATTCACCTATCCAATCACATACAAAAAGATTTTGTGGGGTGATACATGTTTGTGTGTCAAGGAGGAAGTGGATATATGTCATATTTCTAAGTACTGAATAAAAAGGTATGGGTATGACATCATGACTGCTGTTGCCTATAAAGCAGGATTAGAGAGATTTCACCAAACTTGATGAACAAGAGAATGATTACCTGGAATTCAAAGGCGCTGAGCCCAGTAACACTTGGATCATATTGCAGCTGCGTTCTTTGTGAGCCCTGTTATTAAACCCCTTGGAATATAACACAAGGGGAATGTGGACTGTTAGCCAGCTATCCATGTATCCAATGTCTTTACACTAAGCATTTACTCCCACACATAAGCCCATGATGCATGTACCTGTATCCTGCAGCTCCATTCGAACAGTCTTACCACAACACCTATGTTTCAGTCTTACCAGCAGCAAATAGCAAGCGTGTGAAAATAATGGGCCTTCGCAGTATCATCATTACAAGTACATTATGTGTGGGCTGCTACATTGTTAAGAGCTTTTTATTTTAAACTTCTTCTCATCTGTTTGCCATTATTAGAAGAAACGAGAAACCGTAGGGGATGGAAGAGTGGCAGAGGGTAATTATATATTTTAAATAGAGGTATTCTTCATTGGTGATTACAATGGCATTTAGATAACAGCTATTCAGACAGCAACATGGACTGTGTTTACTACCAGGAGACTATCTATCTTTTAGAAAGCGTTAGGCTCTTTTTTAACCCCTTCAGATTAGTACCTGCACTCAAAGCACCAAAATAATTCAAGCTCATTGTTGTGGTTATGACGTTAGAGGGGTATAGGCAGTGCCTTCCTGCTTGTAAAAAAAACCATTTTAAAGCAGTTTGACTGATTTTTGGGGTTTCCCTGGTACCCTCCACTGCTGCTAATAAGAAAATAGAATTCTGTATAAGTCCATCCAACTTACAACAATGGGCAGAGAACAATGCACTAACATCCCTATTGGTGTCAATACTAGGTAGAGAACACTGGGCTGACCTATCCCCAGAACTCAGCCCATCATTACTTCCAAAAGTACAAATGGCTAGTGATTATGGTGCCTAGAGTGATCCTTATATCTACCACAAAGGATGTAAAGTAATTATAATGAACATAGTGAGACAGTAAAGTTGTATACACATGCAGACCAACAACACTATGGTCTCTAGCTACTTCACCTGTTATTAGTACCGTCTTCATTTGCACTTAGTGTTTCACTTTGTTGCTTTTGCTTATGAAAGGGTTAAAGTTATGAATGGCGTAACTATGGTTTTTGCATTCCTTCTTTGTCTGAAAAAATTCCGCTTAGTTAGATTTAAAAAAATAAATAAAACAAAGCCCAGAAATAATAAAAAAATCAACAGAAAGGATAAAAAAAATTCACATGCTTGAGTGCCATCCTTAATTACATTTATAGCATAACATTTATATAAAGTTTAAAAAAACTATTTAGATGGTATGACAATGGAGAGTGGAGAGACGTAGACATCCCATCAATAAATGGCAGAGAAGACCAAAAGGGTGAGACCACTCTAGATAGATTGTTGCAATTCAAGGCTACTTTATCTTTCATGCTCGTGATTGCTGTATTTATTTATTTATTTATTTACATCTTTATGTTTATTGTACCAGATCTGCTGTATTAGATTTCTGTTTGGATTTCTACATGCTTTAAGATGAAACGAGAGGCAGCTGTTGAAAGGAAGAATTGATATTTGATGTGTTTATACCCATTGGGGATGATGAGTTACATTTTACCAGTACTCTTGAGCGTGTAGATAAAATAAATGTTTCTGTAATGGCTTGAGCTATTACTCTACGAGTGCTGTTCTATATATTTCATTTTCTAGTGTTTGTTATACCTTCTATCCTTACTCTCATTTGTATATGAAGAAATTATAGCTGGTCAGTAAAATTAGTGCATCTGGCAACCCTAACCTAACAACAAATCATTTTCAATTATTTTTTTCCACCCATACAAACACAGAATACTGGTCATTCTTATGCCCTACACACCCAATGTTAAATAATATTTGGAATAGTTTGTAACCTTTCACCATACTATAAATGTATTAGTATAGAAGCAGGAACACTATTTTTGTCACACACAACAATGAAATAAATTACATAAATAAAAATGCTAAAATATACGGCTTTAATGTATCCCAAAAAATCCTCCCCAAAACGCCACCCGAATTCATAAGCAGTATCTGAATGTGGCCATAACGCTCACATACACCAACTAGCTGCCTTGCTAAAATACAGCGTTTGAGCATATTCACTTAACATCCACAACATTAACACCACTGACAGGTGAAGTGAATAACATTATATCATTATGATGACACCTGTCAAGGGGTGGGATATATTAGGTAGCAGGTGAACAGTCAGTTCTTGAATTGCATGTGTTGGAAGCAGGAAAAATGGGCAAGTGTAAAGATTTGAGTGAATTTGACTAGGGCCAAATACTGATGGCTAGACAACTGGGTCAGAGTATCTCCAAAACTACCAGTCTTGTGGGGTGTTCCTGGTATGCAGTGGTGCAAGGCAGGAAAACTGGTGAACCTGCGTCAGGGTCATGGGCAACCAAGGCTCATTAATGCACGTGGGGAGTGAAGTCTAGCCTGTCTGGTCCAATCACATAGAAGAGCTAATGTAGCTCAAACTGCTGAATAACCTAATCCTGGCCATGATAGAAGTTTGTACATCTCAGTTTGCTGCATATGGGGCTGCATAGCCACAGACCAGTCAGAGTGTCCATGATGACCCCTGTCCACCGCCAAAAGTGCCTTCAATGGGGAAGTTAGCATCAGAGTTGGATCATGGAGCAATGGAAGAATGGTATGATGAATCACAGTTTCTTTTAGATCAGGTGGATGGCCAGGTGTGTATGTAATTTACCTGGGGAAGAGATGGCAACAGAATGCAATATGGGAAGAAGGCAGGCCGGCGGAGGCAGTGTTATCCTCTGGGAAATGTTCTACAGGGAAACATTGGGTCCTGGCATTCATGTGGATGTTACTTTGACACGTACCACAAACCTAGAGATTGTTGCAGACCACGTACACCCTTTCATGGCAGTGGTGCTCCCTGATGGCAGTAGCCTCTATATGTAATATATAAATATAAACAAAATTCTACTGCCCCTCTTTTTCCCTCTAATGTTTACTTCTTCTCATATGATCTGTGAACCAAACTGTGGGAAAATGCACAAATATTTATTAAGTTCTCTTTAATATTTTTATTAGTGATATTGCAGAAGGTCTTGATGGTAAGGTATGTCTTTTTGCTTATGATACCAAGATACCAAGTAACAGGGATAAGCCAAATGGCATATGATTTAGGTAAACTAGAAAAATGGTCAGAGTTGTGGCAACTGACATTTAATGTGGATAAGTACAAGGTAATGCATCTTGGATGTAAAAACCCAAGGCAAAGTAAAGAATATTTGATACCCTACTAAACTCAACATCTGAGGAAAGGGATTTAGGGGGTAATTATTTCAGGTGATTTAAAGGTAGGCAGACAATGTAATATAGAAAAACAAGAAATGCTAACAGAATGCTTGGTTGTATAGGGAGAGGTATTAGCAGTAGAAAGAGGGAAGTGCTCATGCCATTGTACAGAATACTGGTGAGACCTCACGCAGTACTGGATACCGTATCTCCAGAAGGATATTGACACTTTAGAGAGAGTTCAGAGAAGGGCTACTAACCTGGTTTATGGATTGCAGAATAAAATTACCAGGAAAGGTTAAAGGATCTTAACATGTATATCTTGGAGGAAAGACAAGACAGGGGGGATATGATAGAAACATTTAAATGCATAAAGGGAATCAACAGAGTAAAGGAGGAGACTATATTTAAAAGAAGAAAAACTACCACAACAAGAGGACATAGTCTTAAATTAGAGGGGCAAAGGTTTAAAAATAATATCAGGAAGTATTACTTTACTGAGAGGGTAGTCTATGCATGGAATAGCCTTCCAGCTAACGTGGTAGAGGTTAACACAGTGAAGGAGTTTAAGCACTTGTGGGATAGGCATAAGGCTATCCTAACTATAAGATAAGACTAGGGACTAATGAAAGTATTTAGAATATTGGGCAGACTAGATGGGCCGAATGGTTCTTATCTGCCGTCACATTCTATGTTTCTATGTTTATATTTTGTAGTTCACGGTTTGGCACATTTTTGCTACCTTTTGGTTCATTTGAATTGTTTTTTTCCCGAATTGTTTGCATGAATGAAAGTCATCATATGGAGAAATCTTGAACACTGAAACTAAAAATATTTCTATACAAATTGATTTGGCCAAACCAAAATTATCATCGTGCATAAGTCAGATCTAGAGGACTGAGTGGAGATCCCACAAAATTTAATGAAATGTATTTCTCAGCTGAGTGCTCATGCGGTTAGAAGATAGAGGGTTTAAAATGGATGATTTATGGTTCATAATTAGAGAACTTCCATCTTCCTCCCCAGGTGCCGCACACAGAGAAAACACATGTAAAGTCTAATAGGCAACAGCTTGATACCAATGAAAGGCAAATTGACAGGTACTAGAACAAAGGAAGGAAGAAGTGTAGATAGTATTATATTAACAGATGTTTGTCGTAAAAATAAAAAAGGGAAAATATCAAATGTTATTTTCAAATTGTTTCATTACAAATGCTACCTTTAATTTGGGTATGTGTTTTATATTGTTTTAGATACTTAGTATTCGTGCAGAGCAGGTCCTGTACTTTATTGCTAGGAACTGACTGCTTGTATGTAATAAACAGCACAAAGAGACGTACTAGAGTGGAAGTCTTGTATACTTTTGGAGAAAAGAATGTGGTGCTTGATTTATTATAGTAGATACACTGTAGTTTATTACATTGCCAGTCACTGAATTATACAGCTGCCTACTAACTTTTTGAGTATTCTACCAGCTATGGATACGTATCGTGTTTCTGTACTGCTTCATAGCATGTTCCAATTGTCTGCCTCTTCATTTGTCTGCCTTTTACAATGTAATTCATTGTCCAATGGCAATGGTATTTTTGTTTGCTCCACGTTTAATTTCAGGTGTTAAATTTTCAGCTAGAAGAGTCCATACTTAGTCCTTGGTTGGTAGACTGACGTATATAACCATCTGGCTCTTTAGTGGTCAGTCATAATGTTGTTTTTAAATATCTGGAATTAGAAAACGCACACTTCTTGTTTGCCAGGAGTTAGGACCGATTAACAGACTTCTGATCTTGGCAATACTATATGTTCACTGATTGTATTCACACAATGAAACCACTGTAAATGATAGGGAAATCCTCTCTAGATGTGTTTTTAGTAGCATCCCTCCCTTCTGTGGTTTTCCATCAGCCTGAGATCCAGCTGACCATGACATCTGGGCTGGAGTCAGTCTTCAGTTATTGGCAACAAATTGTTCATCTGCACATGAACCTCTGTGCTGGACTTCTATACAGGTGGCAGGTTGGAGTAATATACAAGTCCACTTAAAGCCTTCCTAGGCTATTCTCTAAAGTGAGAATTGTTCAAATTGTTGGGAATGCAAAGTGAATTTCAAATTTAAGGCCACAATAGCCAAACTGTAAGCATATCTAAATGTGAGAATTTTTCCATTTTGGCTTTTTTAAGCTCAAATTTGGAATTCGCGTTGAATTCACTTTGAGATCCCGACAAGTCTCACTTTAGTGAATAACTCTTCTGGTCTTTGAACTGCAAGCTTTCTTTTCTCATTGCTCTGTGGAAATCTTAGGGATGAAGTTTGATTGTCACATCACCAGTATTAGCAATAATGTTGAAATCCTTCAGAAGAGTGCGATGGTAAATAAATACAAGATTACAAGAGGGAGTGGCACCTGAAGACATTCTCAGGTATTGTATGAAACAAGACCAAAAAAAAGTACAACAAATATATGGTGTAGTATGTATGGCAGCAGGGCTGCCATCAGAAGTTTTGGGGCCCCTGACACAGCTCAAGTTCTGGGCCCCCAGGTGCCTGCACCCGAGTGCCCCCCCCCCCCGAGTCCGCCCACAGGGATGCAGTGTCGGCAGGGCCGGTGCAAGGATTTTTGCCGCCCTAGGCAAAAGTTAAGTTTGCCGCCCCCATGTGACATCACAATACCCCACCCATATGATCTGCCATGTTAACTAACACAGTGCTGCAGTGCCGCCATTAAGCTGCAGTGGTTCTGGGGACTATAGTGTCCCTTTGATGTGAGGTAAATTAGAGATTAGTGCCACGAATAATATACTAGATTGCCTACTTACAACCAGATGAGAATGATGATGGGCGTCTGGCTCCACTGGTCTGGTGTAGAACAGGCTCTCTGGAGGCGGTTTGTAACTGTGGTCACAAAAATCAATGTTCTAGGAGAACGGGAAGCAGCTCCATTTTTTTGAGGGCCCTTTACACAGCTCAAGGTCTGGGTCCCAGGGTCCACCTTCATGTTCCACCAATGAAGGGGTGTGTGTGTGTGTGGGGGATGTCCTGATGTGTGTAAGGAATGCATTGTGTGAATCTGTGTTTGTATGTGTAAGGGCTGCAAGGTGAGTTTGTGTATGTAAGGGATGCACTGAGTGTGTGTAAGGGGTGCATTGTATGTTGCTGTGTGTAAGGGATGCATTGCTTGTGTATGTGTGTCTGTGTGTAATGCATTGTGTGTTTTTCTGTGTGCAAGGGGTGCATTGTGTGTGTGTGTGTGTGTGTGTGATGGATATCAATCTCTCCCCCTACCCCCGTCAATTTCCTTCTTCTCCCCCTCCCTCTCATTTCCTTCTTCTCCCCCTCCCTCTCATTTCCTTCTTCTCCCCCTCCCTCTCATTTCCTTCCTCTCTCTCCCCTCCCTCTCAATTTCCTTCCTCTCCCTCTTCCTTTCTCCCCCTCCCTCTCATTTCCTTCCTCTCCCCCCCTTGAGAAGAGGCTGGCCCTGTGGGTACATACCGGGGTCGCAGGGCCCCCTGCGACCCGGTATGTACCCACTGAATGTGGGGCCCGGACGACCTGAGCAGTCCGGGCCCCCCAGGACCGCCGGGCCCATGACAACCGTTGCGGTTGTCATGCCCTGATGGCGGCCCTCTATGGCAGTCTTGGTCTTTTCTCTAGTTCTCGATCGCACTTCACAGCTTCCAGGGGGGAACGGCTTACCAATGCTTGAGGTCGACAGCGTGATCATGCATTTCGCCTGGGATACGCTTCATCAGACCTGGATACACACTATTTAAATAGGGAGCACAATTTCACATTTCCCCGGTCATGTGATGTTATAGTTATGTGACCTAATATTAATTAACATAGTTAAAGTCGATATTAAGACCACAGGAGGACAAGAGTGTTTAGATTAAAAACCCATTTCATTTCTTGTTTTCCTAATATTTTTGTAATGTGGTCACCTCGCCATGGAGGAGTAACTTTTTAAATGCCTGGGATTGTTGTTATTTATTTATTTATTACTGGCATTTATAAAGCTCCAACATATTCCACAGCGCTGTAGAATTGTTGTGTATTATAAAAGGTTTAGATACAGAACGATCAATTAATAATTAACTACAACCATTGGAGGTAAACAAAAATATGGTTGGCAGATTTGTTGCAATTCATAAAACTCATGCTGGTTAAGCGATCAAAGGCTGTAATTATTAGGCTTGTGCTTTAGTTTTCAGCCGAATTGCAATTTATCTCAACTTACCCTGATCGACAGGTTGTCTAAATTCTGTACCTTGTATAAACTGAACAAATGACTCACGCAATGGATAGCATATTCGTTTGAATCATGATCTGAAGTTCTGTTTGTGGTGCCAAAAAAGAGATATGATGGGGAAAAAAAATCGTTGGAATAGCCACTAAATGCTGAATTATATGGTGATCTTTTAATAATGTTATAGCTTTCCCTCCACTTTTTTTGTGTTTGTGTTTATTTGTGTCGTATTACAATTTAGTCAACATTCTTTTTTTTCTTCTTGACTAATGTCATTACACAGTACAAGATATATAGATAGTGGTAGTAAAGTTATTGAGGGGTATGTTTTATTGAGAGGTATGTTTTATCATGGGGCATTCCTCAGTATGCCAATACCTCTGACTACTCGACTGGGGAAGAGAGACAAAGAATATGGATTTAATATGTTACATACTCATATTCAGGTAAACTGTTACTATACATATGTTATTCAAGTGGTGTGCAATGTATTATTAATATTACTATATTTATACATAAATTCAATTTTAAAAAATGTCTTCAAGAGAAAACCAGGTCTTTTCCACAAAACATTTCATCAAAAGCATTAATTCTTTTTATTTGTATTACCATTGCCAGTACCAAAGTAAGTTCACACGACTTCAGTAGCCTCTAGTTTAGCTGTGTATCACTGATGCCATATATTACACGTTATAATCTATATCCTGCTATGGATACATTTTTGATAACTTCTGCAGAGGTAACTGCTCTGTCTCTTGATGTGCCTGATACTCTAGAACAGGCATAGGCAACCTTTGGCACTCCAGATGTTTTGGACTACACTCTCCATAATGCTTTGCCAGCTTTATGAATGTAAGAGCATTATGGGGGATGTAGTCCACAACATCTGGAGCGCCAAAGGTTGTCTATCCATGCTCTAGAAGCAGTGTTGAATGTAGAATTCCCAAAGATTACGTTATCATTTGTGAATGAACATTTTATTATTATTATTATTTTATTATTTATATAGCGCCAACAAATTCCGTAGCGCTGTACAATGGGTGGACTAACAGACACATAATTGAGATCAGACCACTGGACGTACAGGACAGAGGGGGTTGAGGGCCCTGCTCGATGAGCTTATATGCTAGAGGGAGTGGGAGTGGGGTATGGAGACACAAAGGGTTATGAATTTTATGAATGTTCCTGCATTTTATAAAAGTTTATTTTTATTTTTTGCTCAGTAGATTCCAAATTATTGTATATAAATCACGTATTGCTACATGCATACTGTTGATACGATTGTCTTACATCCTGGACATGAAGGATTTATTACTACATTACACAAGTTATCTCCCATTAGGAAATTTAAACCCCATTTACTCCATTACTACAAATACCATAGAATTACATCTGTAGTGAAAAAAATAATATTGTCCTAGGATTGTTGCATGTCTGTGTCAGAGACCGGTGTATAATAAAGGGAGGAACAGAGACAACATCTACCAAAAAGCATTTTGTAAAACCTATAAAGCAGTGATGGTATCCCTGCTCTAAGCAGACAATTAGTGTGAACTCACACCCTTATTCAAACAGCCTGCATGCATTAGCAGTTCTATAATACTGGAAATATAAATGTCTATACGTGTGTCTCACATTGTGCACACATGATGTAAGTAACGTGTTTCAGCAAGCTTCTGTGTAGAATATTTTCTGGGTCAAATGAAATTGAGAATTAAGGGCAATATTTCTCCCAATCACTTTACTTTGGGCTCATTTTATTCATTGTCCTCGTGTATTTTTTCCAGTTTTTTTTCTATCATCCTTTCTTTCTTCTCCTATTTTTCATTTTTTCATTATGCCTTTTGGCTTTTTTTAAATGCTTTTTAGGAACCTCCCAAACATAGAAGTGCCTGAAACTTGAATTATTCTCTGTTCTGTTATTCTCAGTTAACAATTGCATATCAAATGGCACATGTCCATGGCATCTGTCCTCTGTTCTTGTTTCCCAATAAACAAAAATTGACAAACGGGTTACAATCATTTATTGTTTAAATCTCACAGTATTACCACATGTACATATCTCCAATCAACTGCTTGTGAGCAGATGTGGATATTTTTCAGTTCTCCAACAGAACATCCAAATGACGAGCATTGAAAGTGTTAATTGTTTCAAAGGCTTCTCTCTGAGATCTCCAAAGATATAATTAAGCAGATCAGTGTGAATAAGTTATTTTTTCCTCTTTGTATGACCCCCCTTGCTCATAAACAGATGGGAAATACTTCTAGAACTGTGTCTTGATGTTCGGACTTATGCTTGGGAAGAAATTCCTATTCTCTGATATTTCAAAAGAGCTTGCCAAATCCTCATAAATAATCAATTTAGAAAACCAAACATGTAAAAGAGGAAAACTAAATAAATATCAGTTATAATCTGCAGTTTACTCCTCGAACTGCAGTCATATCTGCTGAGAAAACATGGTAGGCTGTATTGTCAAGTGCATCCTATCCTTAACTCTTTATGGTGATACAATTAAAGGGACAACATAAGCACCATCACCACTGCAGCTCATTTAAATACTTATGGTGCTACGAATCTTTGCGTGCATTCAATTAATTTGTTTGTACATTATCTTTTACGTGATTTGACAAAAACGGAGGCTCTCCTCAGCAGCCATGTATAATGTGCAAGAAAAACCGTACCTGATCCATTGAAAGACATCAATATGATGACAATAACAGGCTGAAAATGCTTGGGCGGTGTAACGTAGACCAACTTTCTGAGTCTTATACGCAACTAGCAATGTAATCTTTTAAATAGACCTGCAGCATATTCCCCTTTTATTTTAGTTTATGTTGAGTTTGTTTACAATACCATTTTTTGCAACAAGTTGCTTTCGAAAAGCACAATTTATTCATTACTAGCCTTCTTGATTTTCCAGTTTACCAGCATTTAAGACAAAGGTCAACAATTCCTGCTTTCTTAAAGGGACACTAAGCAACAACAAAAAAAAACACTACTTGTTAACTTAGTGGTTTTAGAAAATTGATGCTGTGTCTTTATTTGGACAATGCAAAAATTTCTGGGACAAAAACACAACTCTAGTGGCTGCCAGACTGACAAAAACTAGAGAGGCTTCCTCCCAAAACCTTAAAATTCTGGTAGAGCGTGCATGTTGCTAAAAACATGCCCTGTGTCCTCAGTGCTTCTGTAAGAAACAATAGCCATTAGGAATTGATAACTTCATTGGAGGAGATGAAGTAGGGAGAGACCTGGAATAAAGGTAAGCTTTACATATTTTTTTTGACTTTTTTTTATAATAAGGGGTTAACAGTAAGCTAAACGAAAGAAGTAATACTCTACTGTTAAACATGAAAGTATTTATTTTTAGTATTAGAGTTTTCCTCTACTATGATCTAAACAATCATGCCCCAGATCTAATGTTAAGCTAACACCAGAGCCAGATTATGTACTTGGTGATTTAGGAATTCCCCTATCTGTTTTTTTTTACAGAAGTAAAATCATGGCTTTCACAGATAAGTTTACAATATACTTATCTAATAAGACTTTATGTATAGTCTCATGAGGTATAGCATTTAAATAAACACCTTACAATGAAATTTTTTTGTTTTTTTCTCATTTTCTTGCATGTTAGTAGATATCTTCAATGAAAACATGTATGCATTTAATGATTTATGTTTGTTAATTGAGAGTATATATAAAAAAAGCTGCAGATCTTTTTCATGTAGCCTTTGCAAGCCCTCCCCTTCTAACTCCGCCAAGACTTTTTGTGGCTGACCAATCACAGACTTCCCAATGCAGCTCAAGTCTTTGCAAGGCAGGCGCACTGGGTAATTGCTGCCTCTTGAGTTTAAGCAACCAGGAAGTAACAGGACTGATTGACAGATTGACAGCCATGGGGGTGTAACATGAATAATTTTTAAAATGGATAATTTATATTGAAATCTGCATTTTCTTTGTAAAATGAAAACAAGAGGACACACTCATCACATGTAAAGCACTTCAGCAAGCTAAAGTGCTTTAGGTGTTTGGAGTGTCCCTATGCCAGTAAAAATGAATTTTTAACATTTTTTTTAAAACCTTGACTTCTTTAGTGAATAAAAATGTTGTGGAAACTTGTATGTCTACCTATGGTTCAATCGCACCTTGGTCAGTGCCTTTACTAAATAGAGTTGTAACAAATTTGCGCAAGTTAGCAAATAGCATTTTGGTGTAACTTTACTGAGAAACCAGTTTAAACAGCTTTAAACTGCAGTAAATCGGTACCCTCATTACGTTGACAAATGTTTTACAGCTTCCTGGTACATATAGGGTAAAATGTAAAAAAAACAAAAAAAAACCAATCAATCAGCATACTCTTGTTTTATTAACAAATATTTATATTTTAGATGATATTTTTGGTAAGAAAAGTTGTTTGGATTGTTTTGACAACATATTTTTCATTGGGTAGTGATACACATTCCTCTAACAAATGATCCAATGCAGAAAATGTCACAAACATATTTTGGGTTACAAATTTTTGTATTTTCCCATTACTCTCTTACATTATAAGGAATGCTTCTCAAATGAACCCAGTGTAAAATAGTTCTCGCAGCCAAATAAAGAATTAGGGTCATTTTTGGGGGGGGTTAAGAAAAACAAAGTATTATTCTATTTGTATTCTTTAGCCAAGAATGCCACATATAGATAGATATTCAGAGGAAAATCACAGATAATCAATAAATATATTTATCACAACTTGTAATATTAATGTTCCATGTTTTCCTATTCATTGTATATTTGAGAAAATTTACATGTCATAATAATAAGACTGCCGTACTGAAGATTTCTCATTGCTATTCTTTCTTATCTTTTCCGTACTTGTTTTATTCTTGCACTAGTTATAAACTTACCTTTTCTCTACTTGCAATACACTAGTTTTTGGCTAATGTTTACCACAACAAAAATTCACTTAACCAGGAATTGTGAAGAACTCAAAAAGGAAATGGAAATTTTGGACAAGCACTACTTTTAATATACTCTAAAAAGATATAGCACAAAAAGTAGGCAGCATTTATAATATTAGAACAAATTTTGCCCACGCCAGCGGATTAAATAGAAGCAATGTGGATTTCACCTTTCACGTATGGCACAATCCAGGGGATGTTAACTCAAAGTTGGTCTGGCTAATGAAAAAGGCCTCTCTCCTGCTTCCATTAGCTTCCCTTAACTAGTCAGCTGATCACTTTCAGCTATTGAGCTATGCCCTGCACTTAGGACCAGCCTTAGGTCTTTAGGCGCCCTGTGCGAAACATTTTCACAGCTCCCCTCCCTGGTCACACCCACTCATCCATGTATTGTGTATGTATAAGGATGTTGTGTTTGTATAGGGTCATTTAATTCAGATTTAAAAAAAAAAATGCATGTAGGCCCATTTGGGAATGCTAGTGTGTTTTTTTGCAGTGTCTCATGCACACAGTCCCACAGTCAGACGCACAATCAAATGCACACAATTATACATATATACTGTCAAATATAGCCACATGTACATAGTCCCAGGCGCATAGCCACTCGTTACAGTCTTTAAGTTGCATGCATACAGGCAAACACAGTCACAAGCAGAAAGTAAGAGGCAGTCACACACACACACAGTTACAGGCAGACAGTCACATACACAGTCAGTCATACACACAGTTACAGGCAGTTAATCACACAGTTAAAGGCAGACAGTCACACACACACACAAACAAAGCTACAGGCAGTCACAGGCAGACAGTCACACACACACACACACACACACACACACAGTCAAGGCAAATAATCACATGCAGTAACAGGCAGAAAGTCACATACATAGTCACACACACACCTTCACAGACAGACAGTCACATGCACACAGTTACAGACATTCACACACGCACACACTTACAAGCAGACAGTCCCATACACAGTGAAGGCAGAAAGACACACAGTTACAAGCAGACATTCCCATACTCAGTGAAGGCAGACAGTCACACACACACACACACACACTTACAGGCAGTCACATACACAGTTACTGGCAGACAACCACACACAATGTCACAAACAGACTGTCATGTGTACACAGTTACAGACAGTCACACACACAGTTACAGACAGTCACACACACAGTTACAGGCAGACAGTCTCACACACACACACACAGTTACAGGTAGTCATTTACACAGACACACACACACATAATTACAAGCAGTCACATACACAGTGGCCGGGACAGGCAGACAGTCGCACACAGGAACAGATAGTCACACAAAGTTACAGACAGTCAGTCACATACACACACACACTTACAGACAGATAGTCAGTCACATACACTTACAGACAGACAGTCAGTCACACACAGTTACAGACACACACAGTTTCAGGCAGACAGTCACAAACACACTTACTGGCAGACAGTTACACAAGCTGTCACAGACAGACTGTCATATGCGCACAGCTACAGACAGTCACAAACACACACAGTTACAGGCAGAGAGTTACATACACACTCAAAGACAGTCACACACAGTTACAGACAGTCACACACACATACATAGTCACACACATACAGTTACAAGCAGTCACACACAGTTACAGGCAGACAGTCACACACAGTTACAGACACACACACACACACACACAGTTACAGATAGTCACACACAATCACACACACAAAGTTACAGGCAGACAGTCACACACACTTCCCCCTCAGTGTGCAGTATAACCGGGCAGCTGGTAGAGCATTTTGTGTGGAGAAGGTTGCTTCCTGGTTCATCTAATGCTTTGATGGAGGCTCACACTTAACTCTCATACCTAGTCATATTTTATGTCTCACAGTGCTTTCTGCAGAGCAACTGGTCATATTTGCACAAATTGATGATTATTTGTGAGGGTTACTATTGTAGCATTTCTCTCTCCGTTTGCTACACTGCCTATTTTGATAGTCCCGATAGTTACAATTGCTATGGCATAGGCCTCAATTTTATATTTTTCTATATTTCTTTTCATCCAATTTTATATTTTTAGAATATTATTTAAAATAGTTTTTGTCAAACTATTCAAATATAAAAATATATCACATATAAAATCATATTTATTATAAAATAGCAAAACATTAAACCATTATTTTAAAATAGTAAACGATTTGAAAAGTTTATCCAAAAATATTAAATCACTTGAAAAGCAAATTTAAAAATATTAAAATGAGGCCACAGTTTACTATTTAGGTCATAAACAAAAAATCAAAACATTTACATTATTGTTGTTTTGTATCTCATTATCTTGAATGTACTTATATTTGAGACTTCCTCACTACAAAGAGCTTTTACAAATGAATTGCAAACATTGAAGTGAAACCCATAATGTATTTGCTAGAATTACAAGTTCCACAGGAAGAGGCCTTGACTACACAATTATTCAGAGTCCGTAGAATGTCCATAGACTGTTGATGACTTTGGCTCCTCAGAGCTTCCACAACTACAAATCTATATTACATGATGCTAATCAACTTTGCCATAGTTATTTGGAAGTCATCAGAAAGTGGCAACCAGCTTTCCTCATAGGAAATGATATATTTATTCATTGTCACACCAAAGAAACTTTTACATAAACAGTAAATAGTTCGGTCTCCTTGGTCAAACACAAGTTCCATTTTTGATAATGCGCATTTCTTTTCATTGAGCCCTTGGCTAGACATCACTACTCTTATAAACGCCTTCCTATCTGAAAAGGCTTAAGAGTCCAGCATTTAGGCTGATGTTTCATTCAACTGATGGCTTAAGTTAAGCACCGAGCAATAATATACCATCATTGATCTTCAGCTTGGGTTGCTGAAAGCCTCTTTGTATTAATGGCATGAATCAGACAGTATATTTTAGCAGTTGAACTGTGACACCAAGGAAGGATTGCTGTGTGCCAGTGGATCGCGTTTAATAGCACGAGGTTAGCTGTCATAATCACTTAATTTGATTTTGAACATTACTCCTGGAAAACAAGCTTGTTTTCTAGATGCTGTGAATATTAACAAACTAGATTTTGGTGGTTCCTTTCACATTCAGAAATACTGAAGAATCCATTGGATGGTGATTTAGAATAAATAAATATAATTTTATTTATCTACTTCTTGTTTTGTTTGCTTGTTTATTTATTTTTTTAGATTTAGTATGGAGAAAACATTTTATTTAAGAAATATACAAAATGATTCCCAAAAGGAATGCAAGTGATTTTGTCTATAATCTAAGGATCATTATCGAGATCAGGTAGAATAGATCTATTCATATAAGTTTATTACATTTTTCATATGGGAAACTTTATTAAAATAGTGAGTGATCACCGTGAGTTATCCATGAGGTGGTTTAGGCAGATTATTTCAGTAAAATATGTTAACTCTGTTCCTGCGTATCCAAATCATCTGGTTAGAAATACGTGTCTGTTTGCCCACCTATTGTACAGCGCTGTGGAATTTGTTGGTGCTTTATAAATAATAATAATGATTAAAGGAATCCAATATTTTTTTTGAAACAAAAATAGCTGGTTTAAAAAAAACACACAAAATAAAAAGTAGGGCTTTTCATAAAATTAATAAATGGGAATGCAGAAGGAGACCATGTGGGACAGAAATATATATAAATAGGTGAGAGTCTTGGATATGTGTAAAAGGGCCATGGGACAATAGGAAATGAATGGATCTTCCAAGATCAATCCTGGGTTAAGAATTCTTCACCTTGATTTCAGATGAATAAAATTTATTTTAACCAATTGCTTTCAACATTTGTTTATTTTGTAGAAATGATTTCCAGTCAGAAAGGCCCTGAAGCAAGACATGTCCCAGGTCCTGTGCAACTTGGAGTTACCTGATACATTTCAATCTCCTTCACCAGTTGCCCTATTGTGAGTGAATATATGCAAGCTACCTGATTCCAGAGTTGCCGTTGAAGGTGTGAATTACCTAGTAAATTTCCCAATTGCTTATATTCCAAAAGTGGTCCCAGCATTAACGCTCGTTCCCCAAAGGTTCTTATTTCTATTCCATATGTTTTGATTAATTACATTACAGGCAAAGGAACTTTGCTTCCCAAAATAATTCCATTTGTGGTGTAACTATGTCAGCCACCTACCAAGAGATATACACTTACTAGTAAAAGAAAAAAAAGAAAAAATTATCCCAAGACTACATTTTGGTGGTTAATGTTTCAACTACTTCCTGCCCAAAGAACAACATGTATTTATATATGTTTGATATATTTGACCCTTAACTATTGATATCCCTTCCATCGGTTGCTCACTCACGTGATTTTTGAATCTACAATTGACTGATCGAGTCGATATGCATGTATTTTGATAATGTTCTTCTTCACCTTTTTTATACACACATTTTATATAACATTCTAACACTGCTTCTATACCCTCTATGTTTTTTTTTCATTTTTTATCTGTTTTACATGGCATTAACATGCTGCTAAAAATTATAAAAAAAAAATTTAAGACAATAAAACCTAACTTGTTTTTTTTCTTCAGTTCTTTGACACAAGATCTCCAAAATTATCTTTTTTCATATTGTGGTTGTTATTGGCACTGTATAAAATATGGCACGATGCAAATAAATACACGCCTACATATACAAAGTGATTAAGAGGTTACCAATTTCGACAAAGTACTTGATAAAAAACAGCTTTTGTTATTCACAGATTAACATCGATAATTCTCCTTCTTACAGCCAGGAACATCCGTAACATGGCCGTATTAAGAGCTCTGGATTTTGAATAGACACACTGTCCATATGCTAGCATTTAAGCTAGAAGTCTTATTTGGATAGTACTGTGTTTTGGTAATTGTTTTAGAGAAGTGGCTTAAATTTATTTACATCACAAATGTACTGCAGGTGCTGGCTAGGGAAGCCATGGGTGCCATCCATGTGAATACTTGCCATTATTCCAGCTACAAGAAGGATCCAGAGCAGGACTTAGATACAATGATTAGAATCTCAGTGGGCTAAGAAAATAAACATTTGGTTATATAATATTTGGTTCTACAGTCTGCTGCAAAGCACTTTGGACCTTTCTGTTAACCCGATCAACCTTCACTTTGCTTTCCAGTTGGAAATTTCAATAAACTAACCATTTACCTTGACAGGAAATATGTATTACCAAAACAGAAACATTTACACATTTGCAAAAAGTTGATTTTCCAGTATTGGTATTGACACAATATTTGACAAATTCAGTCTTTATATTGTTTCTTGCTTAACCCCTTAGTGACCGAGGATGAACAGGGAACGTCAGGCAAAAAACGGCTGACGTATCCTGAACATCCGCGACACATTTGAGCACTGGAAGCGATCATGATCGCCTCCAGCCGCTCTAAGGGTATTGCAGCGATGCCTTGATGTCGAGGCATCCTGCAATACCCCCCCCCCCACTGCTGGGCCACCTCACTGCAGTGAGGCAGAGCATCGGAAGCCATCAGGCAGGCTTCCGATGCTCTGCCGGTGTGCTGAGTGCCTTGAGGTGTTGAAGCACTCAGTAAATATAATAAAAGAAAAGAAAAAATATTAGTAAATACCCCCCCTCCCCAGGACCTAGTACGCCTGAGGCAATCCTAATTACTTACCCGATCGCTACCTTTCCCCCGCCTGTGATCAGTCTTCTTCTCCACTGGGGGGACAATCTGACAGCCAAGACAGTCCCTCCTCAGTTAAATAAGACCCCATGGGCCATGTGATCGCTCTGAAAGACAGGCAGTCCCCTTGCAAGTGAAAAAAATATTTAAAATAAAGTTAATAAAGAAAAAAAATATATATATATCATATATTATGTCAAACTAAGTGTATTTTTTTAATTAATATATACATATATTAATATAAAAATACACTTACAGTAAAATTTTACGTGTATATATATAAAACAGAATATATATATATAACATATACAATAACTATATATATTGTATATATATATTAGTATATTCAAAAAGGGTTCAAAATCCTTGCCTGGAAATTATAGACCTGTGAGCTTAACTTCTGTGGCTGGTAAAATATTTGAAAGGTTATTAAGGGATAATATTCAAGAATTCCTTGAGAAGAACATGGTTATCAGCAAAAATCAGCATGGTTTTATGAAGCACAGGTCATGTCAAACTAACTTGATTGCGTTCTACGAAGAAGTAAGTAGAAGTATAGATCAGGGTGTTGCCATGGATGTGATCTATTTGGATTTTGCCAAGGCATTTGATACAGTTCCACACAATAGATTAGTGTTCAAACTCAAGGAAATCGGTCTAGATGAAAATGCTTGTTCTTGGGTAGAACATTGGCTTAAAAACAGAGTACAAAGAGTTGTCATTAATGGTAAATTTTCAAGCTGGACAGAGGTGGCAAGTGGTGTCCCTCAGGGGTCTGTTCTGGGACCCCTTCTATTTAACACGTTTATAAATGATCTTGAAGACAGCATTGAAAGTCATGTTTCAGTGTTTGCAGATGACACAAAACTTTGTAAAATAATACAATGTGAGCAAGATATTACTTTGCTGCAGAGGGATTTAGATAGACTGGGGACTGGGCACTCAAATGGCAGATGAAATTTAATGTTGAAAAATGCAAAGTTATGCACTTCGGCGTAAAGAATACACAAGCAACGTATACCCTTAATGGAAGCGAATTAGGGATAACAACACACGAAAAGGACTTGGGAATTGTTATAGACAACAAACTATGCAACAATGTGCAATGTCAATCAGCAGTGGCCAAGGCCAGTAAGGTATTGTCATGCATGAAAAAGGGCATTCATTCTCGGGACAAGAATATAATTTTGCCTCTTTATAAATCACTGGTATGACCCCATATTGAATATGCTGTGCAATTTTGGGCACCTGTTCTAAAGAAGGATATTATGGAACTAGAAAAAGTGCAGAGGCGGGCTACAAAATTAATAAAAGGAATGGAACATATGAGCTATGAAGAAAGGTTAACAAATTTAAACCTGTTTAGCTTAGAAAAATGTCGCCTGAGAGAGGATATGATAACATTATACAAATATATTCGGGGCCAATACAAACCATTGTGTGGAAATCTATTAACAAACCGGACTTTACATAGGACACGAGGCCATGCGTTTAGACTGGAAGAAAGAAGATTTTGTCTAAGGCAAAGGAAAGGATTTTTTTATTGTAAGAACAATCAGGATGTGGAATTCTCTTACTGAAGAAGTGGTTTTATCAGAGTCCATACAGATGTCCGAACAGCTACTAGATGCATACTTGCAAAAACAGAATATTCAAGGATATAATCTTTCAATATAGGGTAATAACTGCCATTCTGGGGTCAAGAAGGAATTTTTTTCCTAGCTTGTTGCAAAATTGTGTTTCAAACAGTTTTTTTTGCCTTCTTTTGGATCAACAGCAAAAAACAAATGTGAGGTAGGCTGAACTGGATGGACGCAAGTCTCTTTTCAGCTATGTAACTATGTAACTATGTAACTATGTAACTATGTATAAATAAAAAATGTAAAAATAATTTAAAAAAGCAAAAATTATATATATATATGTAATTTTATTCTAACTGCATTTTGTTATTTATATATATATATATATATTTATATCAACATACACTTAGAATAAAATTATATAAATATCTATGTATATAAAAAAAATTAAAATAATACGAAATATACATATGTCCATATACATAATTACATAAATAATTTCATAAATATACACGTAGACTTCAAATATGTAAATATGTATACATATTTAAATTCTACATGCAAATTTATGTAATATTTTTACATAATTAAGTAATTTTATTGATTGCAATTTGGGGTACCTGTCTGACAACCCAGGCCGAAAGTCCAGAGAATTTAATTTGCTAGCACCATATTTAACTCTGTAATTTTCCAAGACACCCTAAAACCTATACTTGGAGGGTACTATTTTACTCGGTAGACTTCGGTGAACACAAATATTAGTGTTTCAAAACAGTAAAACATATGACAGCGATGATACTGTCAGTGATGCATTTTTTACACACAAACGGCACTTTCATGGATGATATCATTGCTGTGATACGTTTTTCAAACACTAATATTTGTGTTTAGCGAAGTCTCCCAAGTACAACAGTACCCCCCATGCACAGGTTTTATAGTGTTTTTGAAAGTCACAGTGTCAAATATAAGGTTTGATTTTCCGTTTTTTCACATTGAAATTTGCCAGACTGGTTATATTGCTTTTGAGAGCGTATGGTAGCCCAGAAATGATAATCACCCCCATGATGGCATACCATTTGCAAAAGAAGACAACCCAAGGTATTGCAAATGGGGTATGTCCAGTCTTTTTTAGTAGCCACTTAGTCACAAACACTGGCCAAAGTTAGAGTTCATTATTGTTTTTTTGCATTTTTAACACACAAACAAATATAAATGCTAACTTTGGCCAGTGTTTGTGACTAAGTGGCTACTAAAGAAGACTGGACATACCCCATATTGAATACCCTGGGTTGTCTACTTTTAAAAAAAATATGTACATGTGAGGTGTGATTCAGAGATTTATGACAGATAACAGTGTTACAATGTCACTATTGATACATTTTAAAAATATTTATTTTGAAACAGCAATGTCCTACTTGTACTTATAGTCCTATAACTTTCCAAAAAAAGCTAAGAACATGTTAACATTCTGTATTTCTAAACTCAGGACAAAATTTAGAAACTATTAAGCATGGGTGTTTTTTGGCAGTGTTAGATGAGTATCAGATTTTGGGGGTCAAAGTTAGAAAAAGTGTGTTTTTTTTTAAAAAAATCATCATATTTTATAATTTTCTTTA